TCACTAAGGAACTGAATATTATCTCTGGATAGGACACAAAAGGAAGGCACATAGCACTGTCTATAAAGGATCCTCTGCCCGCCCCTCCCCCACCCGAACCTAAATAAAATCACACCATGAATGCTAACTTCCTGAATATTCTAAAAAATATAGGGGATGGAGGAAAAGTTAAATGGCACCACAAGAAGCAAACAGACAAATCCAGAACATGGACTTCCCACAGAACCATACTTACAAAACAAGTCAGTGACATGAACAGATAGATCCGAGGGAGAAAGAGGCACAGTTCATGCTTAAGAGAGGACTTACCCCAAAGTAATGTGTGACCTTGTTTGGATCCTGACTCAAATTAATGCAAAAAGATGTTTTGAAATAATGATGGGTACTCACTAATTCCATGGAATTGTTCATATTGTTGGGTCTGCCATCGTGATTAAGAAAATATTCATACATTGTATAGAAGAATTATTAAAGAATATAGGAGTGAAATGACATAATGCTGGAATTTGTTTTAAAATACTCAATAAAGGGGCACCTGGGTGGCTCAGTTGTTTAGGGATCCAACTCTTGATGTTGGCTCAGGTTGTGATCTTACAGTTGTGGGACGGAGCCCCGAGTTGGGCCTCTGCTCAGAGCATGGAGACTGCTTGGGATTCTCTTCCTCTCTCTCTGCTCCTTTCCTGCTTGCTGTCTCACTCAAAATAAATAAACTTTAAAATACTTCATAAAAAGAAGACTGATGAAGTTAGAGTGGGCAGATTTGGGAGAAGTTCTGATGAGGTTGGATTGAAACAGGGAAAGGTAGACATGTTTGTTAGATGAAGGAGAGAGAGAGAGAGAGGACAAGAGAAGAATGTTGGCTCATTTGTTCTGGAGCAGTGGGGTGCCACGTGGGCAGGCCTGGGGAGATGGCAGCTTTTTTGCGGTGGGATAGGATGCTGAGGATGTGTGGGGCTGACTTCTCCACTGGAAATGGAAGGTGCCATGTCTGCCAAGATGTTCTATTTAAGGGCCCACAAAAAGATGTTTTGTTTCATGAACTTGTTGGTTGAAGAAATTCTTTTAATACACAACATTGATATAGCTGTCTTTAGAACAACATGGTTACATAATTTTAATTTGATTTTTTTTTAACGGAGGAAGGGACCCACAAAGGCAAAAGTGGCAAGGGCCATGAATATCAGAATGTGCTAATAGGGTGGCGAGGAGACTGCCCAGAGATGGAGCCTGAGGGAGGCGGGAAGCCTCAAAATCTGCACCGTGGGGAACCACTGCCGCCCTGGTGGTCCTCCTCCTCCTGGGGGTCGTCCTTCTCCCTCTGTGCTCCATATTTGGATCTCCCAAACAAAGGTGTATTAGGGCATCCTCACACTGGGCTAGGTGCCAGGACATCTGGGTTTGAATCACCCTGGATCTTAGGCTGTGTCCAGGGGACCAGTTTAGGCAAGGGAAGACCCTCCATTGACACTGGGAGAGGCTTGGGAACTGGGAAGGCTCCACCTTGCCTGGGCTCTCTGTGTTTCCCTGAGCCTTCCTGGCTGAGGCTCAACACCTGTGGGTGCCTGCATCTCAGTCCCTCTCCACAGAGACCTCTCTACAGGCTCTACATACAATCACTGTGTTCCTGGAAAGCTATAAATTAAATCCCACCTTCGCTGGCCCAGTCATATCAAAGCTGCTTTCCTGCTGAAGCGGGGCACCCTGTGAGCATTTCCTCAGGTTCTGTGTGCGGGGAGGCCTCAGGATTCAGGCAAAGATGAGGGAGGTGGGAGGTACTTGGGGAGCGGCTGGTTTTACCCTTCTGGAAGCAGGCAAGGAGGTTGCCCCCCGCCTCGGGAGCCCCAGTATGCATTGGGAGAAGGAAAGAGGCATCACACTGGGGCTGCCTGGCCTCTGGGCCTGCTTCCTTTCTCAGGCGGAACAGGAGAATCAAGAGAGAGCAGCCTTCTCTGGGGGAGCTGAGATGGGCTCCCTGCCCACTCAAGCCCCCTGTGCCAGGTCCACAGCCCCTGACCAGATCAGATAGGGCACGTTCCTGCAGTGAGCTGCCCGCTGACTGGGACTAGGCTGACGCAGGCAGGAAAATATTAACCCAGTGGAATGGGCACATGTTCATGTGTGCATGACTCTGTGTGTGTGTGTGTGTGTGCGTGTGTACACCCACACACCCACAGAGAGGTTTTCACATGCAAGATCAGACACAGATAGGTAGGTGCACACACACAACTGCCCATTCACACATATACATATAGACATACACAGACACACAAATGCTTCTTCTTCTCTTCTTTTTTAGAGAGGGACAACTGGGGAGAGGAGCAGAGGGAGATGGAGAGGGAGATGGAGAGGGAGAGAGAGAGAGAGAGAGAGAATATCTTAAGCAAGACCCATGCTCAGTGCAGAGCCTGACATGGGGCTTGATCCCATGACCCTGGGATCATGACCTGAGCTGAAATCAATTCAGATGCTCAACTGACTGAGGCACCCAGGCACCCTCAAATACTTCTCACATGTGCAAATCTCTTCAGTATCATCTTCCAACTTCTGCCAATGAGATTGGCTCCTCTAAGAAGCCTTCCCTGATAACTCTAGCTCATACTGGAAAGTGGCAGGCTTGAACTCTACGCCTGGTTTCTTTCTTTCTTTTTTTTAAATTTTTAAAATTTTTTGATGTTTATTTTTGAGAGAGACAGAGTATGAGTGGGGGAGGGGCAGAGAGAGAGGGAGACAGAATCTGAAGCAGGCTCCAGACTCTGAGCTGTCAGTACAGAGCCCAACGTGGGGCTCGAACCCATGAACCATGTGATCATGACCTGAAGTTGGATGCTTATCCCACTGAGACACTCAGGCATCCCTCTTTTTTTATTTTTTTTTTATTTTTTTGATGTTTATTTATTATTGAGACAGAGAGAAACAGAGCATGAATAGGGAAGGGGCAGAGAGAGAGGGAGACACAGAATCCGAAGCAGGCTCCAGGCTCTGAGCTGTCAGCACAGAGCCCGACACGGGGCTCAAACCCACAAACCGTGAGATCATGACCTGAGCTGAAGTTGGATGCCTAATTGACTGAGCCACCCAGGCAACCCCTCTTTTTTTTTTTTTTTAATATTATGTTTGAAAGAGAGTGTATGTGCAAGTGGAGGAGGGGCAGAGAGAGAGGGGGACAGAGGATCTCAAATACGCTCTGTGCTAACAGCAGACAGCCTGATGTGGGGCTTGAATCCATGAACCCTGAGATCATGACCTGAGCTGAAGATTGACATTTAACGCACTAAGCCACCCAGGTGCCCCTACCAATTCTTTTTCAACCAATTTATCATTTCTACCAAATAAGATTTTGATTTACTGGGCTGCTGTGCCTTCATAAGCCTTTTCCTGGGCCTTGTCTGGATGCCAAAAGTAGTTGGGTCAGAAGACCTCATATCCTCCAACCCCATTTCACAGATGAGGAAACAGAGGCCCAGGGTCAGGACTGAGCCACTTCTCTAGTCTTCTGCAAGCCATTCACAGAATGTGTTTTGTTTTCTCACAAGCCCACTGGGTTTCAAATGGCTCCGAATAACCACCACTTTCCCACATTCTCTCGCTAACCTTGAAGGACTCAGCTTCCCTGTCATCTCTTCTAGATGATTCTTGCCCTGTTCCAGGTTAGCTTAGTTACTGCCTATATACCATCTACCCTATCACAGTGTATACTAAGTCATCTGCTGTTTATCTCTCCCAAGAGATAGATAGGATTGTGTCTTCTCTACATGTGAGTCTCCAGTGCCCAGCCTAGTAAATGAGCTCTGACTCTGATATGGATCCCAATTCTATCCCTCACTAACCTGATCCCAGCCCAATCCAACTGTACCCAAACTCTGACCTCATCCCAGACCCCAGCTTCGCTTTTGATTCTTACCTCATCCTGACCTTGACAGTACACACAGGAAAGGAATTAAGGCAGGTGTCTCCAATGTCCAGGGGTACATCTCATCTCTCTCTTCCTGAGGGAAGGACTCATTACACTGAGTACACTCACTGCAGAGTGACCTGCAGGCAGTTTGGGGCACGGACTGGAAAATGCGCGTCTAGACTGGCTTGGTCTATTGGCACCCTCTAGAGGACAGTTCTATTAACAGAGCTAGTTTTGGGCAACCAAATCCTATGTGGTGTCCCCACAGCCCAGGGGCTGCCCAGCTCCAGATGGTCCCAGGACTGACTGCCCACCATCCACCTGGCAGGTCTCCTCATAGTCTGACGATCAGTAACCACTCCCTGTGTCTCAGCACCAGGTCACTGGCTCAAATACCACACTGCCCCCAGCTTGGATGCCCAGCAGTTCCCTGGCTCCAGAAGTCTTCTCAGATGGCAGCTGATCCCTGGTTCACTCCTGACTCCACCTCAGTCACTAAGTTTCTGCAGCCCTGGGCCAGTGCCCCACATTCTGGTTCAGCTTTGGCTCCTTCATAGACGCCTCGCTTGCCATTCCCAAGGGAGATGTTTTGCTGATGATAGGACATAGGTGTCCCTTTTCCACTCAGACAGGGGCTCCCAAAGGATGAGGCCCATGCTTCTTCTCTCTCTCCTTCAGATTAGGGACCCCAGAGGACCAGGCTTGGCTTTCTCTCTCCCTTGTCAGATTGGTGTTTCCTGTAAATATGACTTATGTGTTCTCCTTCCCCTGAGACTGGGAGGGCCCTGTATTTCCCTTTCCTCCTTCAGAATTGGGGTTCCTTGAGGACTGAACTAGGGTCTTCTCCCAAACCACTCCATCTGGCTGTTGATCTTCTGATCTTCCCACCTCTGTTCCCCATTCTGCGCGGCTTTTCCCAGAACCAGGGGCTCTGGAGCCTCTGGAGCCTTCCCCAAGCCTGGGTCCCTGAAGTGTTTCCTCTGGCTTTGGGCTGGACACCTGCCTTGGAGGGTAGGCCCTTCCTCTGGGACCCACTCTGAGCTCTACCTCTGACCTCACAAGGGCTGCCTCAGAACCTGGTCTCCGTGGCGCTGCTGGCCAGAGAAGGGATGCTATTTTGGGCAGTGTGTTTGGACTTGGCCCAAGTGGCTTGGGCCAAACCCCTGCCCCACTGACTTCTCCCTTGGAGAAGCAGAACAAAGCGGTACGTGGGGCCGCCTGAGAAAGGCTGAGAGGCACACTCTAGACTTCGGACACAGGGCAGTGGAGCCCCAGCTAGGGGTGCAGCCAGAGCCTGGGACAGTCATGGAGAAACAAGACTAAGACTTGCTATAACTGAGAAGCCCCCAACGTGGACGCTGAGAAACAAGGCACTTTACCAGAGTGAGTCAGGCTCCAAGCAGGGCTGGGACAGGGGACCTCCCCTGGGGCCCAGGCCTCAGAGTGCCACTTCCAGGGGACCATATGGAGAGGAGGTGACCATGGGACTGTCTGGGGAAGGAGCTTCAGTTGGGAGTTGAAAGCCAGGATATTTGTTCTGGCTTAGTTCTGAGGTGCTATGTGACACAGACATGTCACATACTCTCTCTGGGCTTTTGCTTCCTTAACAGTAAATTGACTGTTGGGTGGACTGGCAGCGCAGCAGAGATTGGGAGGGTGTGTAAGGGCTGGGCTGTCAGTAGAGTACTGGCCAGGGGTTGAGGAGTGTGTGGAGAGTAGACACTGGACCAAAGAAGAAGAGAGAAGATCAGAGATATGGCTTGATTGCTGGCTTTGTGGAGTGGTTTCTCCCCTGGGAGTTCCCTCTTGAGAAGCTGGGGCTGGGGCTGGAGGGTGTCTGCAGTCAGGGCTAGGGACGTGAACTTGTGCGGTTGCTAGAAGGAATTTGGCTAGAGAACAAGGGGGACTTCCAGGATGGGGAAATTCAAGGGTTACATTTGTGTGGTGATTTGGGTGGAAAATGGGAATACACAGGGGAATTTTCAGAAAAGTAAGAGGGTAGACTTTGTTCTGAGTTAGAAGAATGGACTAAATGAATTCTTAGCACCTCATTTTGTGTGTGTGTGTGTGTGTGTGTGTAAAAAGGAAAAGGCCCTGGAAAATCGGAATCTTTCCTCAGCAGCAAGAAGTCAGACTAAAAGCAATAATACCCACATATGTGAGGGCGGAGCCGCTGAGAGGAGGCTGTGGGCATCTCCACTTTGGACAGTGGAGAAAGTCAGGAAGACCTGTGAGGGCCTGATCCAGGGGTCCCTGAGGCCAGCATGAGGACAAGGGGTGGGACTGCACGGCCTTTCTCCATTGGCTGAGGCACATCCACACCCCTCCTTGTCAGCTTCGCTGAGTTGAGAGATCGGAACTGGCAGGACCTGTCCCTGTGGCTTCTTCCCTGGGAAGCTGAGGTCTGATGGGAATGTGGGGCCAAGTTCTGTGCCCTCTGCCCCCCAGCCCTAATGACCTCTCTCTGGCTCTGCAGGATCTAAAAATCTCAAAGACAAGACATGGCTCAATCAGATAGGAAAAGGCGGTAAGCACCCCACCCATCTTCCTCCTCCAGCCACCCATCCTCCTACCCCTCCCAACACACCCCTGTGCCCTTCCTGCCCTACTCTCAGCCTCTCCCTCAAGGCAGCTGAGCCCTCCCCCCACTCTTTCCCATCCCTTTCCCCCAGGTCATGAGGCCCAAAAGGACCTCTCCCTGCTGGACCCTGGGCTGGGCCCTTGGGTGAGGGAGGCTCAGAAAGACCTGGGTGAGGGCCAAGGGGCTGGTGAGTGGGTTCCAACTGCCTTTATGTAGGTGGTGCTCAACTGAACTGAACTTACCGCCTCTCACTCTCACAGGCTCAGATCTTTAGGGTAAAATGAAAGCCAAGTCCTTGCAGTGGCCAAGGCCCTGCCTACCTACTTCCAGTTTCCTCTCTGACCTTCCACCACCCCATCCCTGCTCTCCTCCACCCTAGTCACACTGACCTCCTTTCCTTTCCTTCAAAGATGCTCAGAGTCCTTCTGGAATTTTCCCTCTGGCTGAAATGCTCTTCCCTCATGTCTGCTATCTTCTCTGGGAGGCTTACCCCACCTCCTTTCCCTTGTTGTTTTCCCCCATAGGCCATAGTACCTTCTAATATGCAAATGTACTTACTTACTACATTTCATTGCTGCCCACCAGCTCCACAAGAGCAGGGATATTTGTACACCTTTGGATAGAGAGAATGAATGACTCCCCTTTATGCCAGATTCTCTCTGGGGCTTCAGATTCTGTTTCCAAGTGAGTTCCACAGGCATCTCAGGCCCAGTTGAAAACTACCTCCATATCCCAAGGCTACTCTTCCTGTGGTCTCAGCTCAGCCAAGGATCCCCTTCGCCACTGCTCAAGCCAGAAGTCAAGACCTTGTTTGTCCTTGACACTTCTGCCTCCCCCATAGCTCTCATCTAATCACATCTCCTAATATCTAGAATGTTCTCACAGGCACTTTAGGCCACCACCTATCCATTCCTCAAAAGTCTCTGTAGGCCTCACCTCCCACCCTGGGCTCCCTGCCTCTGATGGTTCTGCTATCAGTTATCCATCAGAACCACTAGATGGAGGGATCCAAGGGTGGAGGCGGGGTTTGTATACTGTACCACTGGGACCCAGATGGTTTATAAATTTTTGGTTGACAGATAATTAAATGAGCTGGTGAACAGGACAGTTAGTTGGCTAAGTTGCTAGATTAATTAGTAAGTTGAAGGGTTGGTTGGTGAGTTGTTAGCTAATTAGCTCCTTGGTTGGCAGATATTACTTAGGTAATTATCTGGTTTGCCATTAGCTTCTTGGTTTGTAGGCCAGTTTTCTTAGATGCCCTTTTCTCATTCTACATCCTCTCCTTGGCCACATCTATGGCCAGCTATCAAATGCCCACCTATGATTCAGTGGCCTCTCGATGTGTATCTCTAAACAAGGCTACATGACCAACTGCCTCTTACAGGCTGTTTCCACCTAAATGTCTCGCAGGCTCTTCAAAGTCAACATGGCCCGAACGGACTCCTCATGCTCCTGACTAAGCCTGCAGCTTCTCTCCTGCACCTTGCTTGTCATTCTGCTGCTCTTCCTGAACCCGAAGGTCATCTCTTCTGTCTCCATTCTCCTCTTCAGTCAAACACTAACTGTGTCATTTTGACTGTCTTCTAATCTCCACAGCACCTTCTTGGCTCAGGCTGCCATCTCTGCTCAGGCTGTCTGTGGCAGAAGCTTCTTGATTGCTCACACCCCTACTCCGGCTCCCTCATCTCAGCCTCCATAGAGGAGTCAGTGCTCTCGTTTAAATCTTCCACCAAACCCCACAGCTCTTTGGGTTGAGTTCAGACTCCCTAACATGAACCATGAGCCCTTCTGCCATCTGGCCCTGTGCCCCTCTCTGACCACCTCATGCCACTTTCTCTCCTCTCTCTGGCCAGCCCATCCTTGGGGAGTTCATCTTTATATCACACACTGTCCTTCGCTGCAAGCCTCTGCCAAGCCATTCTGATGCCTTGAACTTTCCCCTGCTTCCCCTGATGCTCCTTCATCTGGCCAGCCTTCCATTCTCGACCTGTTTCCTTTCCTGTGGGAAACCCTCCTCCCCCTGCCTCTGGGTTGTTTCCTCTCTGCATTCCAGTAATGCTCCCCCTCACCTGTGGCAACAGTCCTCACACTTTATAGCAATTACTTGTTTTTCTTCTTGAGAGCAGGGATCATGACAATGTTCTTTACTACAGTGCTTGAGCATAGTAGGCATTTGGTAGATCTCTGGGTTAGTAGCTGGTTGGTGGTGATTTATTTATTGCTTGCTGTGCCTGCCGTGTGGTGGGAAAGATGTGGCCAGGGTTTGAAAATTCTCTTGGTGCTCTTGGCTTCCTGCTCTGTCATCTCTCCACTACTTTTGTGGTTCTTTCCCAGGACCCTCTTGGGTCCCCGTCTGCCTCAGGCTACCCACAGGCACTTCTTCAGGGCAGAGAGGCTGGTCATAGGGACAAGGAGACTCCCAAATAATGCTGCATGGAAGCTGGGGTGTGATAGGAGCCAGTAAATTGTCCAGGCAACTCTACATCTCCCTCCATATGCTCAGCCCTTGATTTTGTCTCCCTGGGTAGGGACAGAACAAGGACTGAGGTGGGTAAGATTAAACATAGGGTCTCAGCCAGAAAAATGGAAGTTGTTTCATCCATGCCTGACTTACATTTCTTACTTCCTCCACTTAATCTGTGCTGCTCACTGTGAGGGCAGGGGAATTTCAGGAAGCCTGGGGAGGAGGAGGGGGTGATGTTGTTATCCTTGCAGGATGAGGTAGTTGAGGGGCTGGTGTCAGCTTCAGGCGTTCAGCAGGGGGAGGGTCAGCAGTCTGAACAAGCACTAAAGCCACACTTAAAAGTAGCTGTACCCTTCCTCTTCTTCTTTAGCCTCTAGACCTCGTCTCCTTCCCCAAACCCCCACACCCCCAACGGATGATGGGGCCTATAACTCACTTTTTTGTCTGTCTATCCATCCAAACATGCATTTATTAAGGAAATACTTATCAAGCATCTATCATGTGCTGAGCATTGTAGGAAGTTCTGAGGATCTAGTGGAGAGTAAGACAGATGGATTCCCCAGTTGTCATTCATTTGACAATATATATTGCATACCTGCTCTGCATTTGGCACTGTCCTAGGCACTGAACATACAACAGGGGAGAAGATCCTGTCCCTCCTTTTCTCTCTCCTCTCTTTCATTTGTTTATTCATTCACTCACTCACTGTGTTGGCCCGGTTGCAGGGCCCTGTGCACTCGCAGATACTTTCACATCTGGCAGAACCCGTTGTATGTTTCAGGCCTCAGGGGTGTTTATAGAGCTCTGAGCAGACTTTGCTATACCCTGTGTTGTTTGTGGAGTGCTTCCCTATTGACAGGTCTTGCCTGCTGCCTGGCCTATGTTCCCAAAGATTTGGCCCCTGCACAGTCAGACAGACAGATAGATGGGACAGCTGGGCTTGACTTTTCTGCCTGCTCTCTCCCATCTGCTTCTCCTCTGAGACTCACTGGCAACACAGATGGCACTTTTTGGCTCCCCACTGCCCTCTCTGCAAAATGGCCTAGTGGGTGCACCTTTCCCAGGCTACAACCCTGTGGCTCTCAGTTGTTTCTGATCCCAGCTGTACCAGATGCCCCGGGAGATGAGGTGTGTGTGGCTAACCTCTGGGTTATGCATTAACTCAGCTATGAGTTGAAGGGCCCGTGGGCAGTGAGTGCACTTGAGCCTCTTTCCTGCCAACGGGCTTGGGCTGCTGCTCCAGGTCTACCCACAACTCCAAGATGGTCTCGTCACCCATGGTAACAAGGATGCAAGCAATAATGCAGAAGGAGATGGTGCGAGAGTTCCTGGGCGAGTTCATGAGCACATATGTTATGATGGTGAGTAGGTGGGTGGGACAGGGTGGGTGGGCTCCGAGGAAGGGACATGAACCCCAGGACCTCAGGAGGGTGAGGCTCAGTGAAGGCAATCCATGGCCCACTCCCCACCACTGACCCTTAGGTCACATATTCTGTTCTCCAGCCTCAGAGCTGGGAGCTGAAGGAGAAGGATAGGAAAGTAAGGAGAGAGCTCTGTCTTTCTCACTGTCTTCTTGAGAAAGAAAGGGATCATAATATGTGGGGGCAGAACAAAACTATGGGCTGGGGGACAGGTGTCAGGGGGCATGGCTGGAAATGGGGAGAAGGGAAACTAAGAGCACAGAGATTGGAGAGAAGTGTTATTGAGTGTCATCATGCTATGAGAATTAATCCTGAGGGCAGTGAGGATACACTGCAGGTTCTCAAGCAGGGGCGTGATGTGTTCAGATTTAGATTTTAGAAGATGGTTTGGTGTGCAGTGTAGCGTCTCAGCAGAACGGGCGAAACTGGTGGGAGGGGAAGCAGTTAGGAGGCTGTTGCCCTTGGATAGAGAGACGGTGGTGACCAGTCCAGGGATGAAGAAGAAAGCACACGCTTGAGGGAGCTGCAAAAGAATCGAGACTTTGCAAGTAGCAGATGAGGGTAAGTGCCAAGCGTGTGTGTGTGTGTGTGTGTGTGTGTGTGTGTCTGTCATTCTGGAGCCGAGGGCCTACTGTAGGGCAAAAAGTGAGGTCAGTTTGGATGCGATCAGGTGAGGTGCCTATGGAGACATCTGGGGGGTGGTTGGATATAGAGGTCTGGAGCTCAAAAGAGGGACTTGAGCTGAAGTAAGGAGTTAGAGCTCATCAGAATATGGGTGGTGGTTATAGAATTGTCCAGTGAGAGTATATATAGAAAGAGAAAAAAAATAAGTGTTTTCAACTGCTCTTCCCTGCCTCCTGTCCTCTTCCCTTCCCCCATTACCACTCTCCTGCTTTGACTTCTGAGCTGTGAGGACAGCAGCTGGATGGTGTCCAGCCTTAATCCAGGACAAAGTCATTTATTTATGACCAAACATTCCAGCCTCATGAGGGCTGTTAAACCTTGGAACCAGGGAGGTAGGAGGTTGTCTCCTCAGAGATCTCTTAGGAGAAGCAAGCACTACCCACATGCACTGGTGCCTTCCCGCATCCCTGTTTTTCTTCCCTTTGTTGAGATTATTATTGAGTACCTACTGCATGCCAGGCATGATGATGCCAAGCCCCTTACATACAGTATCTTCTTAAATCCTCACAGCAACCCTGTGAGGGAAGTTCTATTATTATCCCTATTTAACAAATGGTAAAACTGAGGCTCTGAGACTAAGTTACTTGTCCAAAGTCACATTTTAAGTTAGAATTAAATCCAATGCAACCTAATATCACAGTTTGACCCTTAATCTCTATTTACTCTCTTCCCCATAGCTTACTAAGGCAAGATTTCTAGTACCCTGGTTTGTTAATTCCCCCCAGCTGAGGCAAGGCCCTCACTTTCAGGCTTTTTGTAGTCTCTGGGCCTCAGTTTCCCCATTTGTAGAATGAGAGCCGAAACATTTGCCAGGCAGATTTGCTGTGAGGATTGAAGGGAAATAGCATATATAAAAGAACTCTTGAGGTTTAAGCTCATATAGGACATTGTGTTGTTATTTTCAGTGGTTGGGCCTGTGCCAAGAAGTGGGGGGCTTTTTCAGTTATAGGAAGCTCAGTGAGTCATCAGGGCAAAGGTTTTGCCAGAAAAGCTAGTGTGACCTTGGGCCCCATTTATTGCAGCCAGGATAAGGGAGGTGGACCGTTCCACTCTGTTCCACTCTATAGCCTCTGGGGATGTGCTCAGGGCTGGCCTTGAATGGGCTGGGCTACATTCACTGACCAGGGAGAAGAGGCGCTGGGCCATTAGAGCCCTGGAAAAGCAGCTGTCGACATGAGCCATAAGGCAGGAGTTGCAACTTACAGGCTATGGGGCCAGAGAGTCACCGCAGAGTGGCAGGAGCTGTGGCTAACTGCAGAGTGCTGACCTGTGCAAAGGCGTGGCTGCCACTACTACAGCTGACCGCTGCCACGCAGGATGGGATGCAGGCCAGCGCTGCCTGAGCTTCTGATTTTTCTGGTCGTCAAATCCAAGTCACCCAGACAAAACATGTGTTCTGGATGGACTGGTCCATGGGCTGCCAGTTGACAACCCTGACGCAGGAAATCATGTGGGGTTTATTCACTCATTCATTATTTTTAGCAAATGGTTTTGAGCTCCTACTTGGAAACGTGGACCCTCAGGCTTCAGACTCTTCATGCTTGCTCCAGTCCGTGTACCTCCTGACCCTCCTCAAGCCTGTCAGCCTGTCCTGGCCTCACTCCCCACCCCCATGCCCCATCTGTTCCTGCCCTCTCCTGCCTCATCCTGCCCTTGGTCCTGAGTCAGCCTGCTCCTGGGCTCCTCTGCATCTGTCATGGAGCTCTTGAGGGACCCACATGGCTCAACTGACTCTTCGCTATCCTACCCAGGCTATTTCATTTTTTGAAAGTTTATTTATTTAACTTAAGAGAGAGAGAGCATGAGCACATGCACAAGTGGGGGATGGATAGACATAGGGAGAATCCCAAGCTGGCTCCACACTGTCAGTGGAGAGCCTGATGTGGCACTCGAACTCAGAAACCATGAGCTGAAATCAAGAATTGGATGCTCAGCTGACTGAACCACCCAGGCGCCCTGGGCTATTTCACTTTTTCTCAGACTTTCCCAATTCTGCTTTGTACTCTGCCTTTTTTTTTTTTTTTTTTTTTAATCAGCAAATGGCTTGATTTCTAGCTTGACAGAGAAAACCACCAGGCAAATTTCCTGTGTCTGGCTCCTCACCCACCTGTCCTGGAGCACCAGACTCCACTTACCTGTGCATGCACATATCCCCCCCTTGACGATGGCGGGCCCTTCCTTCATGGAGAACCCTCTACTCCTGCACAAGTCCCACCCTCCAGTCTACTCAGGTACTTTGCTCCATCCTTTTCCTTCTCTTCCACCTTCAGCCTCTCCCTCTCTCACCCTTAACATACTGAAGTCTCTCTCCCTAAACCGGCATGACACAAAACATTCCTCCCTTCCCCTCTGTGAGCCCCTTCAATTATCATGCTCTCCCTCTCTCCCTTCTCAGGCAGGTTCTCAAAGAGATGTCTACACGGGTAACCCCCTTCAACTCTTCTTCATCACCTACTTACCTCTCAATCTCTGGGACCCAGTTTCTGTTTCCGTGGCCTGATGAGGCAGTGCTCACTACGTTACTACCGACTGTTGAACTGTCACCTCCAAAGGGATGCTTTTCAGGCTTTCATGCACTTGACCCGGAAGCTGCATGTGACCATGGGGACCACACCCTCCTTGGGAAATTTGGCTTCTCACTGGTGTCTAGGGCACATTCTCCCTTTGTTCTCCTCCCATTTTGACACCTGCTCTAATTGGGGTTTCTAACACCATCCCGTGTGCAGCTCTAGGTTCAGCCCTCAACTGACGTCTCACCTTCATCCTCCCTGGTGGCTTCCACTATAGCCTTCATGTCCACAGTTCTCCAGGTTTTCTTTTTTGAAAACTCTAGAACAGAATTGTGCAAGGGAAATACAGTATGAGCCATATATGTAATTTAAGATTTTCTAGTAGCCACATTAAAGAGGTAAAATGCAATAGATGAAATTTATTTGAATAATTAATGTATTTAATCCAGATATACAAAATGTTACCAGTTCAACATGTAATCAATATAATTTTTTTAAAAAATTTTGTTCAGGGGTGCCTGGGTGGCTCAGTTGGTTAAGCATCCGACTTCAGCTCAGGTCATGATCTCATGGTTCATGAGTTCGAGCCCCACACTGGGCTCTGTGCTGACAGCTCAGAGCCTGGAGTTGCTTCAGATTCTGTGTCTCCCTTTCTCTCTGTCCCTCCCCTGCTTATGCTCTGTCTCTCTCTCTCTCAAAACTAAATAATAAAACATTAGAATAATTTAAAAATGTTTGTTCGCTTTTGAGAGAGAGAGTAGGAGAGTGCAAGGAGGGGAGGGGCAGAGAGAGAGGGGAACAGAGGATCCATAGCATGCTCTACACTGATAGCAGTGAGCCAGAAGCAGGGTTTGAACTCAAGAACCATGAGATCATGGCCTGAGCTGAAGTCAGATGCTCAACCAACTGACCCACCCAGGCGCCCCAATATAAAATTATTAATAAGATATTCTACATTCTCTTTTTCCTAGTAAGTCTTTGAAATCTAGTATGTACTTTACATTTAGAGCAGATCTCATTTTAAACTAGTCACATGTTAAGTGCTTAATAGCCACATGTGGCTGGTGGTCATCATGTTGGATGACACAGATCTAGACTCCCATTCCCAGCAGCCTGGATAGCTATAGGTCCCTCAGAGACAACGTGTCTAAAATACATGGAATTGTCAAAGGAGGTGCCATCTGAATGTGGCTTTAGAGTATCGATTTTTCAGAATCTGGGATCAGGTATTTCAGGCAGAGGAAAGAGCACACACAAAAATACAGAGGCATGAGAAAGCAAAGCATGCAGGGAGCAGTGCGGTTGTTTGGTTTGAGGCTGTTTGGCAAAGCTGACTGTCTAGATTCAAATCCTGACTCATTCTGTGCAGAATGTGTACCTTTGATGGTCCACTCAACTTCTTTAGGATTTGATTGGCAATCTGTCAAATGGGGAGAATAAGAGCACCTAACATTTAAGTTAGTGTAAGGGTTAAAGGAGGTGATAGATATAACTTGCTTACAAGTGCCTGACACATGTAAGTACTCAATATACGGTTATTCTTTAGTGGTTATATTATTGGTGAACATAGAGAACACTGGAGCATATATGAAAGTGAGAGCCAGAAGGGATAAATTATACAGGGTCTTAAATGGCGGCCTATTGAGTTTGGACTTTATCCTTGAAATGGAGGGGAGACAGTGAATGTTTGAAGAAGAGGCAGACATGATCAGATTTTTTTTTCTGTTAGAAAGGTCACTCTGGCTGCAAGGAAGAGGCTGGGTAAGATTTGGATAGAAGGTAAGCAGAGCTGATTGGTTGTCGGGAATGAGAGAAAGGAAGCTCTCATTCGTGACCTCCAAGTTTCTGGCTTGGCCGACTGAGATGGGGAGCATAGGATGAGGATCACATTTTCTGAGAGATGGTGAGCTTTCAACACAGAGCCTGAGATGCCTTTGAAAAACTCAGACTCCCACTGGGTATTTGAAGATAAGGATCTAGCTAGGTGGAAGTTTTAGGAGTTTTAGGCATATCTGAAGCCACAGGGCTAGTGAGAAGACCTAGGAAGAGTGACTGGGGAGACATGTGAAAGGCGCCATGGATAGAGCTCTGGGGTTATCCATATTCATGAGGCAGATGAAAGAAGAATGTGGGGAGGAACTGTAGAGAGGGAGGCTGTGTAGGTAAGAGGAAACCAGGAGAGAAGAGGAGAGGACAGGAGTGGGGGGAGAAGGAGAGAGAGAAAGGAGAGAGAAAGAGATAGGGATGGATAGATAGATAAATAGATAGATAGATTAGATTAGATTAGAGAGAGGGAGAGAGATTGTTGTAGAACCAAAAAGGAGGGACTTTCCGGATGCACAGAATGGTTAAGAGGGTCAAAGTTAGGAAAGTCCAGTAAGATAATGACTGAAGGGACCTTTAGGAAATCAGGAGACTAGAGTCCTCAGAGAGAGCTTTGTCACAGACATGTGCAGGAGCCAGTTTGAAGAGGGAGAGCAAGGGAAGGCATAAAGGAGCCAGCCAATGGGTTCTTTCCCAGAGCCTGGCCCACATAGGGTGAGGGTGTCCAGGAGTCTATAGGTAGACAGTGAGGCTGGGCTGAGGCAGGATGGTTTACTTTTAGGAAGGAAGAGACCCAAGTCTGTGGGAGCTAGTCAAGGGGATGGTGGAAGATACAGGCAAGAAGGAGGTATCTGCAAAGCGACAGAGAGGCTGGGCATGGGATCTAGAGCTGAAGGGGAAGGCAAATATAGATTCTGGTGGGAACTGCAGGAGGTTGAGTGAGGGCCTAGCTTTAGCCTCTAATCTCCTCGTGAAGGGGGAGGGTCAAAGGGGTGTATCTTCTGAGGTGATCCAGCAGTTATAGATGGGAAAGAGCAAGAAGTTCAGAAATGACACCTGAGGGCAATGGAAATGTTGCTGGAGGCAAGAGGAATAGAACCCCACTGGCTTCCAGAGCTGATACAGGTGTTGGGGGGGGGGGTGTTGTAGCAGAGAACAGGCATGAAGTATGGAAATCTCTTGAAGAAACTCTTGCAGTTTAGGCTGAAGTGTGAGAAGTGTGAAGTGTGAAGTGTGAAATGTGAGGGGTTCAATCCAGACCAGCCATGCCTTCCTTGAAGCCCTGCCCCCTTCCTTGAACTTTGGGTGGTCTGGGGGCCCAGGGGCCAGGGTGTATCGTTAAGAGCCCCTGACATTGCCACTGCCCTCCCATCTTACATCTTTTACATCCCATCTTTTACAGCCCCACCCATCTCTCACTGGTCAGGTCTTAAAGGGGAGTCAGGGAAGGAAATTTCCAGAGGAAGGGGGCATGGCAAAGGGTCTCCAAAGGCAATGCAGGGGGCATGGGAGTGAGGAGCCCAAACAGCCTGAGCCCTCTTGTAAGGTTGGGACTTCTGGGTAGGTGGTCCCCTCAGAGGCCCTACTTCGCAGGTGTTTGGCCTTGGCTCTGTGGCCCATATGGTTCTAGGAGACAAATTTGGGAGCTACCTCAGTGTCAACTTGGGTTTTGGCTTCGGAGTCACCATGGGAGTGCACATGGCAGGGAACATCTCTGGTGAGTGAGCCTGGGCCCCCTCTGATCAGCAAGGCCAGGTGTCCCCCGAACACTGTTCCTGCCCTCCTCCAGCCAGTCCCTTCCCCAAGTCTGCTAGAACCCATCCTCACTGGCCCCCAGGAGGGAGAATACCCTGAACCCCTTTCTTCTGACCCTCTCTGCCCAGACTCTTCATAAGCTCCCCCCTGGGCCCCCATTTTTACCAGTTGGGTCAACTTAGGTAAGTTATTTAACTCCTCTGTCTCTCACTTTCCTTAATGGTGAAATGGAGATGGTGGTCCCTGCCTCATAGGGTCCTTGTGAGGATTAAATTAGTACACTCCATAGATAACTAGCTATTATGATTATTGTTACTGTTGCTCTCATATTATTTGTTATTATTGTTTCTTTCTACTCTCACACCTTCGACATTTCTGCCCCTCCCCGCAGGGGCCCACATGAATGCGGCCATAACCTTCACCAGCTGTGCACTAGGCCGCATGTCCTGGAAGAAGTTTCCTGTATACATCCTGGGTCAGTTTCTGGGTTCCTTCCTGGCTTCTGCCACCATCTACTGCCTCTTCTACTGTGAGTGTCTTGCCCTATGTTGTCCACCCCTGGCCTCAGCCTCCTCCTCTGAAAAATGGGTAGACCCAGCCCCTGTGTCCTGGCCTGTAAACATGTCTAGGAGAGAAAGCCTTGGAGGTTCTCCCCGCCCCCTCCATCCTACAGCCTTATTCCTGGGACTCCAGTGGAGTTTAGCTGGAGGAAGGTTCACACTCAGTCTGTGTTTCCACAGCAGCCATTATCCAATTCTCGGGCGGACATCTGACAGTGACCGGTCCCACAGCTACCGCTGGCATTTTTGCCACCTATCTTCCTGAGTACATGACGTTGTGGAGGGGCTTTCTGGATGAGGTCAGTGGTTCAGTGTGGGTTCCCCTCCTTAAGTCCTCCCCACCTAAGGAAGCCCTCACAACAGAAAGGACAAGAACTCTGGGTGGGGTCTCTGCCAGTGGGTTGTGGCTAGGGGCACTGCTGAAGCTCTGTGGCTTGGCTAGGGGCCCCGGGTGACTGTCACAGTGTCTGCTCACCAGGTGCTAGTCACAGGGATGCTCCAGCTATGTCTCTTAGCCATCACGGACAAGGAGAACAATCCAGCACTGCAAGGGACACAGGCCCTGGTGATTGGCATCCTCATTGTTGTCATTGGATTGTCCCTGGGCATGAACACAGGATATGCCATAAACCCATCCCGGGACCTGCCTCCCCGCTTCTTCACTTTCATTGCCGGCTGGGGTGTACAGGTTTTCAGGTACTTCCCTCACCAGCCCATCCCTGTCAGTCTTCTGTGGGTTCCCTGATGTGAGGAGCAGCACAGGAGAGACCTGCAGAGCTTCCAGGTGGCCTGGGGAGAAGGGAGCGGGTCCCTGCTTTCCCCCAGACCAGCACTGATACAGATCCTGCTCCTGGACTGAATGTCAATGCTGTCCCAGACCAGCTCAGTCCCTGAATCAGGCTGAAGCCGACCAGGGCCCCAGGCTCAGGGGCAACTCTTGGGCTAGAATAGAAGTCACTCCTCTACTCTCAGCCCCTACTCCCTGTCTCAACCTGAATGGATGTAGGTGCTGTCCTGGGCGTCAGCCCCCTCAGCAGGCCCGTCTCTTGCCTGCAGGGCCAGGGACTGGTGGTGGGTGCCAGTGGTGGCGCCGCTGCTGGGTGCCTACTTAGGTGCCATCGTCTACGTGGTCTTCGTTGGCTCCACCATCGCACAGAGGCCCCAGGTATTGGAGGACTCCACCATATATGAAGACCGCAGAGTACCTGTGCTGCCCAAGACCATGCCGGACCCACCCACGACCCTCAGCCCTGTCTCTGTGTCTCCCAGCAACAGACCTTCAGTCCGGACTGTCCCACCCTTAAGTGACCCCATCCACTTAGAGCACTTCTAAGTAAGATGATTTGTGACCCTATCCCCACCCCAATAAAGAGAGCCTTGTCCCACAGCGGCACCCCTGCGTCCTGGGTGCCTCCTGTGGTTGGGCTTTCCTCCTGGATTCTTCCAGGAACTCCAGGGTTATGCCACAGCCCAAGGCTGCAGTATAGAGCTGAGAGGCCTCTGTTGAGCCTTAGGAGCTGGGGCACCGACCCCACACCCCAGGGGATGACGGGGGAAGGGCCAACCTATGGCCCCAGTAGGAACAGGAGGAGATTAAAGGGTGCCAGACACCAAATGGTGGACTTTCAGGCATAGGGCAGGGACGGGATGATTTTGGGGAAAGGACAAGAGCTCTGGGGATACTCTGATCTGTCCTGGGAAGGACTCTAAGACTATCTCTCAGTTCTGGCTAGTCCTTGGACCAGACAAAGCAAGGTCCAAGCAAGTAGATCAGTTTCTCTTTTTTTTTTTTCCTCTCTTTTTTTCAGACCGTTTTTTTTCCATTATTGCTCCCCTCAGACGCCTTTTAGACATTTTCTTTCTTAATCACATGATATTTTAATACCACAGATATACTAGATATTGGTTTAAGTACTATATATCGGTTTATATATATCTGTGCTTTATAAAAAAAAAAAAGAGTAAGATTTTTCTTCATCTTCCCCTTCCAAGAATCAATGTTCTTGCCCTTGGAGGCGAAATCAGCCCCTACCTTGAAAATGCCTAATGTAGATTGAAAGTAGGTAAGGGGTTGGATTACTCTTTTTTCTCCTGGTGCCAGAACTCTCCTACACGAAGGAATTCCGGAGTCAGAAGGAAGATGCAGAGAAGGAAGTTCTTCCAAAAGGCGCAGAGACAGGAGATGGTCTTGCAGAATGGGATTCAGAGGGACAGGCAGAGAAGTTGGGTGGAGGTGCGGCATCCCCACCCACTCTGGGATCAAGCAACTATCACCCTGCTTTCTGGGACCCAGGAGTAGCATCACCCATGGTTCCTGTCATTGTTTGCACATTCAGCCTTTCAACAATTATTGAGCACCTCCTGTGTGCAGGTCCTGCATAGGCACTGGAAATGCTGACGTGGATGAGGCTGGGTCTCTGTCTTCAAGGAGCACAGTCTAATGAGGATGTTTATCGTGAGGAAGGAGATAAGCAGTGGAGAGGGGACTGTGGGGCTCAGAAGGGGCCTCACAGCCCAGCGTCAGGGTGGAGGCCAGGGATGGCTTCCCAGAGGAGGAGGCAGAGCAGAGTGGGGGACAAGAGTTGTCCCTTCTGGGGTTGGTTGCTGCACTTTGTAGTTGGAAAAAATGTAGTCAGCGAGGCTGGGCTTTCTTCTGGACGTGGGGACATGGTGAGATGAGGTTTAGCAAGCCTGCCTGAGCTGCAGGGAACAAACTGCTGGGAAAGGGGGAGATCAGAGCCTGCAAGGGAGTCTGGTGAGAGGCAATAACCCAGGAGGAGCAGCAGATGGGAGACAGGGGGTTTGCAAAATACTGAGGTAAAGCCCACAAGACCTTGGGCTGGCATTGGGAGGAGTGGGTAAGGATGGCAGGAGTCAGGGCTGACTTCAGGGGCATTGGAGATGTGCCCTCTGTGAGTGCGCAGGGGAGACAGACTGGTTTGGAGAGGAAGATAAGTTACATCGCGGACATGTTGAGTTTGAGTTGCCTATGAGACCTGGTGGCAAGAATTGTGTATCTTGAGCAAGTTACTCAACCTCTCTGGCCTGTTTTCTCCTTTGTAAAATGGGTCTAATCTTACTTACCATTTGTGTTGCTGTAAATATTCAATGAAATAAAACATGTACATTGCTGAAAATAGTGCTCAGCACAGAGTAAGTGCTCAATAAACAGGTATGCCCTTAATATGGTCTGGAGATCAGAAGACAGTTGAAGACAGAGATGGGGAAGTCGTGATTGTGTGGATATCATGGGGGCCCATGGAATAGTGAAAGGAGGGTCAGTGAACAGTGTCCAGAGAGCACGGCTAGGAGGTGTGGAGTGGGCACCTCAAGAGGTCTGACTGAGGAGGGGTGCAATGTGCGTGATCAGGGGGCCCTGGAAACAAACCCCTCCATCAGTAGGGGAGCATACCCTTACCTTGCCGTACAGTCACATACAACAGAACATGATACATCAGCAAAAACTGAGGCACAACAGCTTCCTGTAACAACACGGAAAAAGTGGGGAGGCATAAAAAGCAATACAGTAGACTGTATACAGTATGATACCAGTTATATCACTGAAAAACAAGCAAAAAGGAATATATTCTTTGGGCATACATATGTGATAAAACTACTTTAAAAAAAAGAAGGGATGGGGACACCTGGCTGGCTTAGTCGGTGGAGTATGCACCATTCTGAATCTTGGGGTAGTGAGTTTGAGCCCCATGGTGGGTGTAGAGATTACTTAAATAAAATCTTAAAAAAAATTCTTTAAGAAAAGTGGGGGATGGTTGCTCCAGGGAGAAAGGGATGGAGATGAGAGACAGCACAGCAAAGAGCAGGGACCCATAAGGCACTGTGATGTCCACCCCATCCCATGTTTACTTCCAACATCCATAACTCTTTTCTAGTTCTGGATGTTGGAGTTAAATTTATGGGTTTGTTATATGATTGTGCTTTATAACATATAACTGTGATATATATTCATTTGTAGCCATCATATATTTTAAAAGTTGAATAGCCACAGGTGATGGGAAATGATAGGTATGGAATGTGCTGATGACAGGGTGACCAGGGAGGAAGGAGAGAGGCTTGACTATGTCTGACATCCCACAGTGGGAGGAACTGAGCCAGGGAACCAGGCCTGGAAGTGACCAGGGAAGGGACCATATCAGGAAGTCCCAGCCAGCTGCCTCCCTCTGTGACCCTGGATAAGCCTCTTACCCTTAGTGGGCTTGTGAACATGGGGAGACTAGTCTTTCTCATTCCTAGTATTCCAGAGCAGAGTGACCCTAAGGCCTCAGTCACAGGTGAGAGAGGCATATACGGGCCCCAGGCTTCTGGCTCCCACTCTGCTATGGTCCTCGCTGACCACTTCAGCTTTGTGTCATCCTTATGTACGTCCCTGGGAGGTGGCCTTGGAGGAGGGCAGTCAGTGGGTCCATCAAGAACCTGCCTGGTGTCTACTGCTCTGCCATAGACATAACTAGGCCCATTGCCCATTAAATCCTGCAGATTCTGATCTCAATGTCAGGCTTACATGAGCTCTGACCATGATTACAGCATTTCTGTGCACACACCCCTTTCATTCTCTTGGCAGAAGTTGTTTGAAATTCTACAACATGCCAGATACCATTTTGGTGCAGAGGATAGAGGCACAAAAAATAAACAAGTTCTTGTTCTCAAAGAGCTGACATGCTGGGCAAAACATGTGGAATGTTAGTGATACATACTAAGGAGGAAAAGCAGGAAAGAGGGATAGGAAGTGTGTGGGGAATGAAAGACAAAAGGCCTCCCTGAGGAGGTGACTTTGAGTAAAGACCTGAAGGGGGAGAGGGTGTGAGCTGTGTGGATATCCGGGAGAAGAGCATGCCAGGCTGAGGAAATAGCCACGGAAAGACCCTAAGGTGGGAGTGTCGAGGGCCACTGCTGAACTGGAGTGGAGAAAGGAAGGGAAGAAGGGAGGCAGATAAGATCAGACAAGTAGGTAAGGTAAGCTGAGGCAGGTCCAGGAGAGAGGTAAGGCCAAGACTTGGGGCAGAAGCAAGGGATGTCTCTGGAAGAGAAAGGCAGGTCTCACTGCAGGGTAGGATGGGATGGGGGTGAGTGTCACAGTGCCTTGTGAATCTCGGCTCTTCACTCTGCTGTCTCTCTCTCTTTCTGTCTGTCTCTCTCTCTCTCTCTCATACACACACACACACACACACACACACACACACACACACACACACACACAAAGAGAGAGACAGTCTCTCCTGTATTGGCTGTATGCAAGAGACACATCTGTTTAACTCTAGGAGGCAGGCTGGGATAGGAGTCATGGAAGCCCTGTCTCCTCTCGCAGGCCCTGGCCCAACAATGACTTGCTGTGTGGCCTGGACAGGACCCTTCCCCTCTCTGGGTCTCAATTTCCCTATTTGTGCATTAAGGCATGGATTTGTTGGTGCCTGGAGAGTGTCTCAGCTCTGTCTTCTTCTAGAACTTTGAAGTCTCATGTCATGATCCCACTTGGCTTCTCCCCACCCCAACTGAGGCTGTGGTTGAAATGGGGAAAGAGTAAGACAGGAAGAACTCTCAGCCCCAGGCCAGGCCATTCCAGGGCTTTCCAGGTAAAGGTTTGGTCCTCAGCCTGGTGGGCCTGGCTTTAGGAGAGCCCCTTACTCCGTCTCCTTGCCTGCTCTCCCACTCCCACTCCCACGCACAGCCCCTAAGGGACAGGCACCTACAGGCAGCACCCCAGTCTGGCTAGCCTGTCTCACCTCCCTCAGACGGGATCCTGCAGTCCAGATAGAGAAGGGAGCAGCTATCTTGGGTCAGGCTTGGGTGCTGATGCCCTGAGTGGGAAGAGGCTATGGCTACTCAGAGCTATGCAGCCCGACTGTGGCGAGGCACCTACCTCTGTGCTGAACCTGAAGTGGGAAAGAGGTATTACCCAGCCTTCTTGGATGCTGCAGGGCCTATACTGTGGAACCTAAGAGCATAATGAGGGCAGCCAGGCTGGATGCTGGCTCTACCAGTCACGAGCTGTATAACTTTAGGTAAGACAGGATAATAATAGCTCCCACCTCACAAGGCTGCTGGGATAATAAAACGAGCTATGCCTGGTATGTGGGCAATGTGTTTGCTATTTTCATTCTACATTCTCTTGTGGTCCTCACATCACCATGCCCATCTTACATCCAAGGAAACTGAGGCTGGTAAGGGATAGACAGTAGGGATTCTAGTCCTTACCAATATGACTCTGGCTAGTTTTTTTGTTTGGTTTCTGAGTTGTGAAATATATCCTACAAGCATGCATATATAACATATGGGTACAGTTAAAATAACAAAACACTCAAAAAACAAAGACCCCAAATGAACAAATAACCCCAAACACTCAAGTGCCCGCCACTGAGCTTGGGCATGTTATTG